GTGAGAGAGAGAGAGAGAGAGAGAGAGAGAGAGAGAGAGAGAGAGAGAGAGAGAGAGAGAGAGAGAGAGAGAGAGAGAGAGAGAGCATTGGGCATTTTTTTTTTTCCCCTACTCTTGGTCCCGGCTCCTGGTCCCCGCCGCCGTTGCATAGTCTTGGTCCCCGCTCTTGGTCCCCGCCGCCGTCGCCGCGGGCGGACGTCTTGTTATTATTATTATTTTAAAAGGGTGACGGCCTTGGGATATCATCATCAAACGGATCGGCCCCAGGTAATTCAGAACTATAGTATGTCACTCATCTGCTTCCACTGGAGTTACAATTCGGGTCTGTATTTCAACAGTTCAGCTATGTACCAACTGAGCTAGGCCAGTTGGTACCATCATTATTTTCACCAACCAACATTCCACATCGTTTGCCTGCCGGTCGCTCACTCTGAGGTTCTCTAGAGAACAACACGAACTGGAGGCAAGCCTCATCTCAGCCTAACAGGCCCTACAGGGATAATCTACTCAGAACCCACACTCTTTGTGTTGGTAGTAAAAATTGGCCATAGCCTCTGTACCACACACAACACAATGCAGTGCCACCTTAACCAAAATGTCATGTTAGCATGCCCTCATCATTCCACATACACCCGCTGCCACCGCAGCTCCCACGCTGTCGCCACAGCCTTCCGGTCCCACTTCCCTCCACCCGGGATGGACCCAACAAGCCAGCGTTAAAGTATCCTTACTACAGAGAAGCTTCGTCGGCGCACCAAGTAACCAAGACACCAGCGCCAGTATGGCGATATCTGAACCAGCTCCGATACGAAATTGCAAGGAAAATAAGCGATAGGCGGAACCAAATTGCAATATTACGCTGTAGACCACATAGTGATGTACCAAGCAGAAAGCACAATGCACCGAGATACCAGTTAAATAACAGCAATACAATGAACTCAGATGTCAATGTCGACACTCTCTCACCACACCAACATAGTATCCAATGTCGCTCTACTTGATTGGCGCACAGCGCCCAGCCTATCCTACTCAGCTGCTATACTAGCCTACTCTATGTATATATAACAGGAGCACTTCGAGCTGAAGACCAATGTACGTGACGACGTCACCAATGCAGACTGCCAGCGTACACCAGGTACGTGCCTCTCATCCTCTCCCCTATCACATCCTTCTCTGTTACGGACTTCGCCAGGGCTCGATCCCTGGTCTATCGTTTTGCTATTTCAGCTGCATCCCGTTTTCGGCCTGGCGCCCTTTTTCCAAACTCCTCCTTTGGTACCGTAGGATTTCGGACAACTGGCGCCATGCTGCAATTCGGGCGCCACTTTCAAATACTGCATTTTTCAGTTCTGCCCTCRGGGCCTTTGCAGAAATGCCCCTGGTACCGTACRTGTCACCKGTACTTATACYGGCTCCCYGTACGGTACGGRACCAGTCTCRTACCAGTTCTCGGCTGCTGTACTCGTACTCAGTGTGACTTGCTGTTTCCRGCATTCGGGAATCCAAGACTTCGACTTTGTGCCTTGCCACTGTGTCTGCGTCCGATCCTCAGTCCGAGTCCGTCGTGTCGAGTGAGTGAGTGTGTGTGTGTGCTCTCACTCTCTTCCTCTCTCTCCTCTCCCTCGGCTCACCCTCAGCCTCGCGCTCGTTACATTCTCCCCCACATGTGGGCCCTCATCCCGAAGACCACCATCGCCCACCGGCCACCACACGCACAGCCCGGCTATGGCCACCGTGCACCTGCTGCCACCGCAGCGCCCCACTCACCTCGTAGTGCCCGCATGTGCCTCTGGCTAGTGCTCGGGCAGACTTGCGTTCGACTCCAGATGGAAATAGATGAACGAATTGAAGTCCTCCTGAACTTCCGTCTGTTCGACGCTGATATCTCAAGCCCGTCGCCCTTTTCTTTTTTAAAAAAAGGAAAGAGAGTCAGGGTCGGAG